TAATTTTTTTTGTTTTTATCACGTGGGGAAAAAAGTCCCCTATGTGATGATTTTTTGGTGACAGGTTCTCTTTAATGAGACATCCAGGGTCTTTACCGGGGTGTGTGAAAGCATTCGGGCGGCTGTTCTGAATGCTTACACCTGACAAGTAAACCCTGTTGCGGGTAAATGTTACAAAAAACTAAACCACATGTCCCAGGTATCAGGTGATATAAATTGTGCATCTCTGCAATGAATAACCTAACAAACGCCCAGGCACCAGGGCGCAATTTCTAGTCGACATGGCGACCTGGCTCCTGGGATTTGTGGAGCCTTGCCTCAGACTGCACTTTTCAAAAATGGGTAATTTTGATGGTATTTGTACTGTTCTAGCATTTTAAAGGCCTCAAGAAATGAGATTGGCTGTCAGTACATCAGGATTGATACATTTTTAAATATACACTGTATTGGGATGCCTGCCTTTACACGCACTTGAACTTTAATGGCATCCCAGTCTTAGGCTGGCCATACATTATAGAATTATCTGGAGATTTTTGGTTTAGATTTACCAAAAACCATAGAATAGGAGGACAAACCTAAACAACACTTTCAGTTGTATCCAATTAGCCAGGCCCTTGCACTACACAGTTGAAGGTAAATCTAAAGGAAATTGGGCAGAAAATTGGAAGGATTGTATAATGTATGGCCAGCCTTAGTCTGTAGGGTTCAGTATTGAGTTGGCCCATCCTTTGCAGCTATAACAGCTTCAGCTCTTCTTGGAAGGCTGTCCACAAGGTTTAGGAATGTGCCTAAGGCAGGCATGTCCAAAGTCCGGCCCGCGGGCCATTTACGGCCCGGGGGTCGGTTTAATACGGCCCTCCAACAGTCCTCCCTGCTCTGTGTAATGTGGCCCTCCCACGGCCCTCCCTTCTATGGCAGACAGTCTTCTGCTTGAGAGCAGAGGGCAGTGCGCATGCCTGACTGCGGCGCGTTCTCCCTGGTCTGTGTAAATGCGGCTGTCGCACGGCCCTCCCTTCTGTGGCAGACAGTCTTCTGCTTGAGAGCAGTGCGCATGCGTGACTGCGCCGCGCTGGGAGCGACAGAGGGCGGTGACGTCAGGGCCGGGCTTCCAGCGTGAAGTGTGTTTCTCTTCCCCTCCCGGCTGCCGAGCAGACTTCAGTTCAAGCTACCTTTTTCACCCTTCACATTAGTGCAGGTAAGTATTTTTTAAATTTATTTTCAATACATTGTGAAAACTCAGCTGTCAGTTGATCTTAATGTTATGAAATGAAAAGTATGTCGTTTGCAATTAACTTGGCATAAAATAATTTATTTGCATTTAATTGTAATGGTTCAAAGAATGTTCGGAAAAATGTTCGGCCCTCCACCACCATGTTCACTTCATCCAATCTGGCCCTCTTTGAAAAAAGTTTGGACACCCCTGGCCTAAGGGAATGTTTGACCCTTGTGCACTGGTGCAGTCATGTTGGAACAGGAAGGGGCCATCTCCAAAGTGTTCCCACAAAGTTGGAGCATGAAATTGTCCAAAATGTCTTCCTTTGCTGACGCCTTAAGAGTTCCCTTCACTGAAGTGGCCAAGGCCAACACCTAAAAAACAACCCCACACCATAACCTCCCCTCCACCAAACTTTACACAATGCAATCAAGCAAGTACCATTCTTCTGGCAAATGCCAAACCGAGACACGTCCATCGGATTGCCAGACAGAGAAGTGTAAATTCTTCTGTCTACTGCTCTGGAGTCCAGTGGTGGCGTGCTTTACACCACTGCATCTGACCCTTTGCATTGCACTTTGTGATGTAAGGCTTGGATGCAGCTCCTTGGCTATGGTAACCCATTCTACAAAGCTCAATACGCACTGTTGTGCTAATCTGAAGGCCACACGAAGTTTGGAGATCTTTAGCTATTGACTCTGCAGACAGTTGGTGACTTCTTTGAACTTTGAACTTCAGCATGAGCTGACCCAGCTCTGTCATTTTACGTGGCCTACCACTTTGTGGCTGAGTTGCAGTTGTTCCCAGTTGCTTCTACTTTGTTATAATACCACTACGGGTCCTTTCACACAGGGTGAACCAGTTTGGTGGATCCACTTGCTCAGCGGGGATCTCTCCGCTGATTCCCACTGAGCAAGCAGATGACAGCTTTGTATCTGCTCCACTGCTGCAGAGCAGACACAGAGCTGCACGCTCTCCTCAATGGGCAGTCGAAAGAAAACAGACCGCCTGTCTGTTTTCATCTGATCCAACAGACAGAAGGGGAATTGAATCCCCATCCGTGCCTTTTTGGCGGATCGGATGTCAGCGGATGTAAACAGACATGTCCGTTTACACCCACCGCTCCATATAGGAGAATGGAGGTTCCGATCGGGTCTGCCTGTAAAACCCGATTGGAACATCCATGTTATAGAGCCCTCACAATTGACCATGGAATATTTAGTAGCAAGGACATTTTATAGATGGACTTATTGCACAGGTGGCAACCTATCACGGTACCAAGCTTGAATTCACTGAGCTCCTGAGAGTGATCCATTCTTTCACAAATGCTTGTAGAAGCAGTCTGCATGCCTAGGTGCTTGATTGTATACACCTGTGGCCATGGAGGTGATTGAAACACCTGAATTCAATGATTTGGAGGGGTGTCCCAATACGTTTGGCAATATAGTGTATATACCATAATTTAGACACTAGAACTTTCACACAAACCAATATACACTCATTGCGACTTTTTTTACCATAGAAATGTAGCAGAATACATTAGGGCCTAAATGTATGAAGAAATTTGATTTAATTGGATATGTTTTATAACAGAAAGTAGAAAACATGTTTGTTCTTTTTCAAAACATTCAGTCTTTTATGTCAGGGGTATGGAGTTAAAATTCACAGTGATCCAATCAATAAAATTTCTTCCAGCAGAAGTCCGAATAGCATGTTTGTGCTATGACTCAGCCTGGGGGTGCCATTAATTATTAATGCCACCACCACACATTGGCACCTACAGCACATTTTGGCACACACCAAACCACATGGGGCGATAAAAAAAAAAAAAAAAGGGCTGAGACTTCTTTCCCTGCGTTTCTCACAGGTAGGGCAGCCCATTAAAATAAATTGGCTGCACTACCCCCAACGCACAAACATGCATGCGCAGATCTGAATTGATCCTTCACATTACAGTCACTCGCCTTCACATCAAAATCCCCCCCTTCACATTACTGTCCTCAGAAGCCCCCCCCCCCATTACTGTCCTCAGCGACCCCATTAATGTCCTGAGCCTCCCCCATTACTGTCCTGAGCCTCCCCATTACTGTCCTGAGCCCCCGCTTACTGTCCTGAGCCCCCGCTTACTGTCCTGAGCCCCCGCTTACTGTCCTCAGTGACCCTGTTAATGTCCTCAGCCCCTCATTACTGTACTGAACCACCCCATTACTGTCCAGAGCTCTCCTCCTGAACTGTCCTCAGTGACCCCATTAACCGCCACCCTATAGTAGTGCTACAGGGTGGCAGGGATGCGCAAAATCACGTGTATATACACACACATGATTTGCCTTTTCGGGTAAGAGGCACGTGCCTGCGCGCCGCCCTACAAGCGCTGCTATTGGTGGCTAAGGATGTCAATCACCGTATCCCGGCCAGCTATTCCCAGCCGGCACTTGCCGATCGCTGTGTAAAGCTGACAGGGGAGAGACCTGTGTGTAAACCACCGTAGTCCATACCAGCACCCTTGATCATCGCCATACTAGCGTCCCGATTACCACCGTACCCCAAACCAGCGCCCCGGTCACCGCCATACCCCATACCAGCGCCCCGGTCACCGCCATACCCCATACCAGCGCCCCGGTCACCGCCATACCCCATACCAGCGCCCCGGTCACCGCCATACCCCATACCAGCGCCCCGGTCACCGCCATACCCCAAACCAGCGCCCCGGTCACCGCCATACCCCATACCAGCGCCCCGGTCACCGCCATACCCCATACCAGTGCCCCGGTCACCGCCATACCCCATACCAGCGCCCCGGTCACCGCCATACCCCATACCAGCGTCCCGGTCACCGCCATACCCCATACCAGTGTCCTGATCACCGCCATACCTCATGCCAACGTCCTGATCACCCCCATACCAGTGTCCTGAACACTGCCATACGTCAAATCAGCATCCGGCATTTTAGGGTCTCAATTGATCAACTTTCAAATATATATCCCACAGTTTGTAGAATCTATAGCTTTCACAAAGGCTAAATAGTCAGTTTTGGGTTATTTTTACCCCCCCAAAAAGTAGCAGAATACATTTGGGCCTAGACTTATGAAACAAAAGTTATTTATTCACAAAATGTTATAACAAAAACCAAGCAAAAATGATTAGTGTGATCAAATTATATAAATTTAATTTGCGTACAGTGTTGCATGGCCACGCAATTGCCAGTTAAAGTAGCGCAGTGCTGAATAGCAAAAAAAAAATGGCCTGGTCATGAAGGGGGTAAAACATTCTGGAGTTAAGTGGTTAATAGGAAAGCAAAGTGCCTGGCAGAAACAAAGGGATTTCACACAAGGAAGCAATAAGGAAAAGAACAGGATACATTTTCATATAGGCACATGGTATAGATAGCACATATCAGGAATATGAAATGTTGGTTTTGCATATCATTTAAACTTGAGACATTTTGTTCACTGAAATAGTTACTAAAGCACCCTGTCTCAGCCAGGATTCTGTGGAACTTTAACTTCTTGCCGACCGCGCATAGCCGAATGACGGCTTCACCGCAGCCGGCCAGTTCTGAGTGGACGTCATATGACGTCCTCCCAGAACGCGCTCTCCTGCGCGCCCCAGGGGGCGTACCCGGCGATCTCCGTGATCGCTGTGTCCTACGGACACAGCTGATCACGTGAGAAAGGCCGATCCCACCGGCCTTTTACCACGTGATCAGCGGTGTCCAATGACACGCTGATCACAGGGAAATGCAAGTGCCGGTTCTCGGCTGCACTTTCCTCACGCTGTCATCGAGAACCGGCAGTTGTCAGAGCGGGGATCGGCACCGATTATCAGGGCACTGATGATCAGTGCCCTGATGATCGGTGCCCAGCAGTGACACCCGCAAGTTCCGCCCAGCAGTGCGCCCACTAGCCCCGCCCACCCGTTCCCAGCAGTGCCCCCACCTGTGCCCAGCAGTGCCCCCACCTGTGCCACTCTGCAGTGCCACCTACCTGTGCCCAGAAGTGCCACCTACATGTGTGCCCACAGTGCCACCCACCTGTGCCCACCCACCAGTGCCACCCACCTGTGCCTACCAGTGCCACCCACCTGTGCCCACCCACCAGTGCTGCCCACCAGTGCCACCCACCAGTGCAGCCCAGTCAGTGCTGCCAGTCAGTGCCACCAGTCAGTGCCCAGGGTTGTGCCAGTCAGTGCCGCCAGTCAGTGCCCAGAAGTGATGCCAGTCAGTGCCGTCTATCAGTACCCATCATCAGTGTCACCTATCAGTGCCGCCTATCAGTGCTGCATATCAGTGCCGCCTATCCGTGACCCCTAATTAGTGCTGTTTTCAGTGCCGCCTATCAGTGCCGCCTCATCAAAGCAAATCAGTGAAGGAGAAAAAATACCTGTTTGAAAAATTTTATAAAAGAAACAAATAAACTTTTTTTTTTTTTTCAAATTTTTTTGCACTTTTTTTAATTTATAGCGCAAAAAGTAAAGCGCCCCAGTGGCGATTAAATACCACCAAAAGAAAGCTCTATTTGTGAGAAAAAAATGATCAAAATTTCATATGGGTACAATGTTGCATGACCGCGCAATTGTCAATCAAAGTGCGGCAGCGCTGAAAGCTGAAAATTGGCCTGGTAAGGAAGGGGGTATAAGTGCCTGGTAGGCAAGTGGTTAAGAGTTCAAAACTGCAGTTTGGCCACACTTTAATTTCCCAACTGCCACCCCCTTTAGCTGCAAAGGCAGCGGCTGGGGGTGTACACATGCCTCGGCCAAGATACTTCTGAAGCAAAAAACTACACCCTGTTGCTTTCAGTGGGCATAGCGCCCACTGAACACAATCCTTTCAAGTGATATGGGCTGCTCTGCATGTGCTTTGCCGTTGCAGCATGCTAGCGTGGTGTTCAAGGGGTTAAAGCAGGTGGCGAGGAGGTGATGCAATGCCTCCTTACTGCCTACCAAATGCTCTCTGAAGAGCAATTTGCGTCAAAGCTAGTGTGAACGAACCTAAGGGGACTCTACACTGATCATTTGTGTAAGGGCCTGCGTCCATGGGCTTTGGGATTGTGTAAATGACATCAGTTTGATAAGCTTCTGAGATCATTCAAAATTTTCTGTCAGGTACATTGGACATGCAGTTAACCTCCTCCTTGTTTCAAATTGGATTTGCATTCCCATAGACTTACATGAGAATGTAAATCAGGAACACAAAACCCATTTGACACAAACAAAAGGCACATCAACACAAGCCCTAAGGGGCAAAATTCCCCTATATTTACCAAGGTACACCTACAATGACCCCCAGCATAAGGGGACATTTCTCCATTTACCATTAGTGGTCAATTTTCACACGCAACATTTATTTTCTATACATTATTTCCTTTGAGGATTCATTACTGAAAAAACTTGGTGTATAAGTCAGGGAGTTGTAAAATGATCAATTACTCTATACACACCATACTCTGCAATCTTTTATAGACAACTTTGTATAAGTCACTGATCCGGATAATGCACTAGGAAATGTAAATATGTTTTTTTAAGGATTCCCTGAGATATAACAGTTATTTCAGCAGTTGCTCTAGAGTACTGAACTCGACCATCATTGGGTGGGCACCCTTAGTGCTTTCTTTATACAGTGCATCCAGAAAGTATTCACAGTGCTTAACTTTTGCCGCATTTTGTTATGTTACAGCCTTATTCCAAAATGGATTAAATTAATTTTTTTACTCAACATTCTACAAACAATACCCCTTAATGACAACATGAAAGAAGTTGATTTTGAAATCTTTGCAATTTATAAAAAAAAATAAAAATAAACCCACCACTTGTACACCACGTTCCAAATTATTATGCAAATTCTATTTAAGTGTCACAAAGATTAAATATTTTATTTTTCAGTTTAACTCATGGATGGCATTGTGTGTCAGGGCTCTTTTGATCACTGAAAACAATCTCAGACACCTGCGATAATTAGATTGGCAGGTGAGCCCAATTTAAGGAAAAACTACTAAAGGAGGGTGTTCCACATTATTAAGCAGAGCACCATTTTCAAGCAATATGGGGAAGAAAAAGGATCTCTCTGCTGCTGAAAAGAGTGAAATAGTTCAATGCCTTGGACGAGGTATGAAAACATTAGATATTTCACGAAAACGTAAGCGTGATCATCGCACTATTAAGAGATTTGTGGCTGATTCAGAGCACAGATGGGTTCGTGCAGATAAAGGCATATTGAGGAAGATTTCTGCCAGATCCATGCATCGGATCAAGAAAGCAGCTGCTAAAATACCATTACATAGCAGCAAACAGATATTTGAAACTGCTGGTGCCTCTGGAGTCCCACGGACATCAAGGTGTAGAGTCCTCCAGAGTCTTGCAACTGTGCATAAACCTTCTATTCAGCCACCACTAACCAATGCTCACAAGCAGAAACGGCTGCATTGGGCAGAAAAATACATGAAGACTAATTTTCAAACAGTCCTGTTCACTGATGAGTGCCGTGCAACCCTTGATGGTCCAGATGGATAGAGTAGTGGATGGTTGGTGTTCCAACAAGGCTGCGACATCAGCAAGGCAGTGGTGGAGTCATGTTTTGGGCCGGAATCATGGGAACAGAGCTGGTCGGCTCCTTTAGAGCCCCTGAAGGTGTAAAGATGACCTCTGCAAAGTATGTGAAGTTTATGACTGACCACTTTCTTCCCCGGTACAGAAGGAAGAACTATGCTTTCCGTAATAAAATCATCTTCATGCATGACAATGCACCATCTCATGCTGCAAAGAATACCTCTGCATCAATGGCTGTTATGGGGATAAAAGGAGAGAAAGTCATGGTGTGGCCTCCATCCTCCCCTGACCTCAATCCTATTGAGAACCTTTGGAGCATCTTCAAGCAAAAGATCTATGAGGGTGGGAGGACGTTTACATCCAAACAGAAGCTCTGGGAGGCTATTCTGACATCTTGCAAACAAATTCAAGCAGAAACTGTCCAAAAACTCACAAGTTCAATGGATGCAAGACTTGTGAAGCTGCTATCAAATAAGGGGTCCTATGTTAAAATGTAACATGACCTGTTAAAATGTTTAAAAAATAGCTTTTAATTTCAGTAAATATGCTGCAAACACAACAAATGACAATTTTCAGTTCTTTACAACCTATAAAGTGTTTTGAAACTTACTGTGCGTAATAATTTGGAACAGTGCATTGTAAGTTTTTTATGTTTAAAAAAAAAAATACTGTTATCATTAGGAGGTTTGTTCAATAAAATTTGAATTGTACTCTTAATAGTTGATAACATGAGAATTATGCTGTTATTTACATCAATTATTTAGGTAAAATATAATTTGCATAATAATTTGGAACACGGTGTACATAAGTATTCACAGACTATGCCATGACGCTCAAAAATGAGCTCTGGTGCATCCTGTTCCCACTGATCATACTTGAGATATTTCCACAACTTGATTGGAGTCCACCTGTGGGAAATTCAGTTGATTGGACATGATTAGATAAGGCATAAACCTGTTAACAGTGCATGTCAGAGCAGAAACCAAGCCATGAAGTCCAAGGAATTGTCCATAGACCTCAGAGACAGGATTGTATCAAGGCAAAGATCTGGGGAAGGTTACAGAAAAATTTCTGCACCATTGAAGGTTCCAATGAGCACAGCGGCCTCCATCATAAGTAAATGGAAGAAGTTTGGAATCACCAGTAATCTTCCTACAGCGGGCCGCCCGGCCAAAATGAGCGATCAAGGGAGAAGGGCCTTAGCCAGGGAGGTAACCAAGCATCCGATGGTCACTCTGAAAGAGCTCCAGCGTTTCTCTGTGGAGAGAGGAGAACCTTCAAGAAGAAGAACCATCTCTGCACCACTCCACCAGTCAGGCCTGTATGGTAGAGTGGTCAGACGGAAGCCACTCCTCAGTAAAAGGCAAATGGCAGCCCATCTGGAGTTGGCCAAAAAGGCACCTGAGGGACTCTCAGACCACAAGAAACAAAACTCTCTGGTCTGATGCAACACAGATTGAACTCTTTGGCCTGAATGCCAAAACATCAGGAGGAAACCAGGCACCACTCACCACCTGGCCAATACCATCCCTACACTGAGCAAGCATGGTGGTGGCAGCATCATGCTGTGGGGATGTTTTTCAGTGGCAGGAACTGGGAGACTAGTCAGGATCGAAGGAAAGATGAATGCAGCAATGTACAGAGACATCCTTTATGAAAACCTATTCCAGAGCGCTCTGGACCTTAGACTGGAGTTTATCTTTCAACAGGACAACGGCCCTAAGCACACAGCCCACATAACAAAGGAGTGGCTATGGACCAACTCAGTGAACGTCCTGGAGTGGTCCAGCCAGAGCCCAGACTTGAACCCGATTGAACAACTCTGGAGAGATCTGAAAATGGCTGTGCACCGATGCTCCTCATCCAACCTGATGGAGCTTGAAAGGTACTGCAAAGAAGAATAGGAGGAATTGCCCAAAAATAGGTGTGCCAAACTTGTAGCATCATACTCAAAACGACCTGAGGTTGTAATTGGTGCTAAACGTACTTCAACAAAGTGTTGGGTAAAGGCTGTGACTACCTATGTACATGTGATTTTTTTTCGTTTTTTATTTTTAATAAGTTGCAAAGATTTCAAAACTAATTTCTTTCATGTTGTCATTATGAGGTATTGTTTGTAGAATGTTGAGGAAAAAAATTAATTTAATCCATTTTGGAATAAGGCTGTAACATAACAAAATGTGACAAAAGTTAAGCGCTGTGAATACTTTCTGGATACACTATCTGAATTCTTTCCAGGGCCATGTCTTGTGCTTGGAGTACCTTGTTATATGAAAGCAGCATCAACAAAGCGATTCAGGCTAGGTTCACACTAGCCCACACGCTGCTGGCTGGTTGCGGGTATTGATGCGATTCCTGCACCC